AAGCCCAAAAGGCGAACATGCCAAAAAATTCAATCTTCCTATAGGAAATCGACGATGTTTGCTTATCTGGGGCTCTATTGGGGTGCCTCTTGGGAGCCTCCTGGGGGTCTCTTGAGGGCCTCTTGGGGCCTCTGGGGGGCCTCTTGGGGCCTCCTGGGGACCTCTTGTGGCATCCTGGGAGCCCCTGGGGCCGAAAGTTGGGAATTTGAATATGGTTGTGCACCTCTGGGACCCCTCTGGGGCTCTCTTGGGCTGCCTTGGGGGCCTCTCGGGCCGTCTTGGGACCCTCTTGGGGTCGTCTTGGAGCCCTCTTGGGAGCCTGTGAGGCAGTCTTGGGGGCCTCTTGGGCCGTCTTGGACGCAGTGGAAGCCCAAAAGGCGAACACGCCAAACATATCATTTCTGCAAGAGTAAATCGACGATTTTTGCATATTGGGGCTCTATTGGGGTGCCCTTGGGGCGTGTTCGGGGGCTCTTTTTGTGTTTTTGCGGGTCTCTTGGGGACCTCTTGGGGCTTCTTGGGCGCTTCTTGTTGGGGTCTCCTGGGGGCCTCGTGGGCCAAATGGCTCGCATTTCGGTTCCACGTCCCCGTCTTGGGCGCCGACTTGGGGCGTTGTTGAGCGGTTTAGGCGTCTCGTGGGCCGCCTTGGCATCCTCTTGGGCCGTCTTGGGCGCAGTGGAAGCCCAAAAGGTGAACACCACCAACATATCGGTCTTCCTATAGGACATCGACGATGTTTGCTTATCTGGGGCTCTATTGGGGTGCCTCTTGGGCGCCTCCTGGGGGTCTCTTGGGGCCTCTGGGGGCCTCAAGGGGCCTTCTGGGGACCTCTTGGGACGCAGCCTCTGGGGGCCCTGTTGGGCCCAGGTCGCCGAAACCTCGTAAACACATAAAAAAAAACGACGCACTGGCCGCACATTTGTGGTCGTGGTCGTGGCCCCCGGCCCCTGGACCCGGTTCTCGTTATGTGTATATAAGGGTCGGCGGGTGTGGCGTAAGCCTATAGAATTTCAAGATTGCCAGAATTTGCCACCGCAGCCCCCCCCAGGGGCTGCGCCACATCCGTCGACCCAAAGTGGCCACGCCCATTTGGCTCAAAAACGTGCCACGACCTATGTAAAATCGATGATTCGGGACTTTGTGCCCTCTGGGAGGCCCAATAGGGCCTCGAGGCGGCTCCATATGGCTTCAAGACGGGCCAAGACGGCTCCAAGACGGTCCATGATGGCCCCAAAAGGGCCCAACAAACTCCAAAAACGTCCCAAGAGGGCCCCCAAACGACCCCCAATAGTGCCTCCAGAGGCCACAGTCATTAATTTTTCTATAGCTTTTTGCTGATTATAGCGTTCTCGCCTTTCTCAACTCTCAGAAGCCCATGGCCGCCCAGGCAGCCGCCAAAATTGCTCCAAAAAGGCATTAAAAACACCCAGGAGGGCCCCCAACCGGCCCCAAGACGGCCCAAAGAGGGGTCCAAAAAAACCCCTGAGACGGCCCAAGAGGACCCCAAAAGAACCCCAAGGCGGCCGCGAGAGGCCCCCAATACGGCCTCCGAAGGAGCGGAACGGCGGCGCAAAAGCGCCCCAAGACGGCCCAAAACGCCCCCAAAAGGCCCCGAGAGGCCCCCAAAAGGCCCCCAAGGGGCTCCCAAAAAACCCAAGAGGCCTCCAAAAGTCCCCAAGAAGCCTCCAAGAGGCCTCAAAACCCCCACAAGGCCACACAACGACTGGAGTGTAATGTTCTTCCCCCCCCCTGGGCGAACTGCGGCGCAGCGCCAGCCAGGTGGAAGTTGGTCACGGCGGCGCCCATGATTAGAGCCGGCGCTGGAAGGGAAGATGAGGAGGGAGTATGAAAAAGGAGGGGGGGAGAGGCCCCCAAAAAGTCCCCAAGAGGCCCAAAGAAACTCCCAAGAGGTTTCCAGGAGGCCCCCAGGAGGCTCCCAAGAGGCCCCGCGACGACGTGACTGTACGTGCTGCGGACGTGCACCCCGCGAAGCGAGAGGAATCTCAAGATTGCCAGAATTTGCCACCGCAAAAATATATGGGAAACCCATAGGTCGCCAGATTCTCTACGGATTCTGGCCACCTGTGGGTCCGCTCGCCGCCGCGAATTACGGAAAACCCATAGGTCGCCAGAAATACCTGGGGAATCTGGCGACCCATGGGTTTCCGATATACTTCTGCGGGGGCAATTCTGGCAATCCCGAGAAATCTTGCCCTCGGAGGGCCGCCTCGAATTATGGGAAGCCCAGAAAGGTCGCCAGATTCCCCAAGGGTTTCTGGCGGCCCATGGGTTGCCCAAAACTTCGGAATCTGGACCCCGTTCGCCGCCGATGATGGGAAATCCACAGGTCGCCAGATTCCTCAAGTCATCTGGCGACCTCTTGGTTTCCCATAGCTCGGCGGGGGCAATTTCGGGAAACCCATAGGTCGCCAGATTCCCTTGGGTTTCTGGCGACCTATGGGTGTCCCCAAATTCGGAATCTGGACACCCCGGTAGCAGTCTCGAGTGACTGGAATCCCATAGGTGGTAGAACCCTAAGTGTTTCTGGCGGCCTACGGTTTCCCATAATTCTGAATCTGGACCCCGCTCGCCGCCGCGAGCTATGGGAAACCCATCTGTCGCTATATTCCCCAAACAAGTTTCTGGCGACCTATGGGTGCAGTTCGGAATCTGGATCCCGCTCGCCGCCGCGAATTATGGGAAGCTCATAGGTCGCTAGAAACCCTAGGGGATCTGGCGACCTATGGGGTTCCCATATTTCGGAGTCTCGACCCCGCTCGGCGGCGCCATTGCGCGAGCGAAATCGAATGCGAATGGTCCATAATTGCGCGGCGTCTGGGATTCCGTGAAATTCCATGGGGCCGCCGGCGTGAGCGAATTATGGGAAATCCACAAGTCGCCGATTCCTTCAAGGTTTTGGCGGCCTACGGGTTTCCGATAATTCTGAATCTGGACCCCGCGCGCCGCCGCGAATTATGGGAAGGCCGCAGGTCGCCAGAAACCGTGGGGAATCTGGCGCCCTATGGGTTCCCTATAATTCGGAACCTGGACCCCGCTCGCCGCTGCGAATAATGGGAAACCCACAGGTCGCGAGAAACCCTTGGGAATCAGTCGACCTATGGGTTTTTTAATAATTCGGAGCCTTGACCCCGCTCGCCGCCGCGAATTATGGGAAAACCAGTGTCGCCAGATTATGTAAGATTTCTGGCGGCCGATGGGTATCATAAATTCGGAATCTGGGCCCCGCTCGCCGCCGCGAATGATGGGAAACCCGTAGGTCGCCAGAAACCCTGGGGAATCTGGCGACCTATGGGCTTCCCATAATTCGGAATCTCGGCGCCGAGTCGCCGTTTCTCACAGGTTACCCGACGTCGCCGTGCGGGGCACACGGCGCGTGTTTCCGCGCATGGGTAACCTGGCCGGCAGTCGTCTGTCTACGGGAGGGTCTGCGAATTATGGGAAATCCATAGATCGCCAGAACCCCCAGGGAATCTGGCGACTTAGGGGCTTCCCATCATTCGGAATTACGGGAAGCCCATAGATAGACGACTGCCAGCGCCCTTCTCCTCTTTCTATTGGGCCTCCACAGCCTGCAATCCTCGGGGTTGTGGGGGAAACTGGCCTGAAGGCATGGAAAGCAAATTCAACATGCATTCCTGTTTCTGTCCAAAAATGCATAATCTTGCTAATTCTAAGAAACAAGGGGCGCTCACTTCTTTCATTACTACGCCACGCCAGCACGCGTTTCGTCGTCGTATTCCTCCTCCTCCTCCTCCCTCCCCCTGCTCCTCCTCCTGCTCCATGACCACCAGCATTCGTAATATGGTTTACGGCGTCTACGGCAACCTCATCACTTGTGCTACGGGCTCTCCTTCAACTTTCTCCTTGCTTCCACTCGGATCGGAGACTCCCGCGTCCCGGCCCTGTGAGCCAATGCGCGCTGATGAAGTCAAACGCAGCCAAGCCAGGACGAAATACAAAGGGTGGCATGGACCGGCTAAGATCGAGGATGGGCTAAGCCCCTGCCGGGCTTTTATAACGGCGTAATCCGTGGTTGTGAAAATGGACTCTCGGAACTTGGTTAGAAGACAAAAGGCTAGAAAATCACTTCCGCGTGGACCACGGTGTTGACACGCTGGCTGGGTAAAGCTGGGGCCCGCATGCCCGCATGCGCACTTTTGAAACCCGTCCAAATTGATCTTGAAAACGGGCAATACGAACACTCCAACCCGATATGCGGAAGTTGACCATGGCGACATACAGACAATGTCAAAGTACACGAGCGTGCTTGTATGGTCATTGCCTCGATGCTGCGCCAGTGATCAAGTGGTTCATACAGAGCAATTGCGTACTCGTGGCAAATATACGTGCGCCTTTTCCCAACTTGTCTTTTTCTGGCGACATCCCCACGGCAAATCGGGCAACCAAAATCATTACGCACATGCCGGCTGCCTCGATGGTATACAGATGAGCTATGCCATGTCCGTGTGCCATTCTGTCCAAGATTGTTACACCTTCATTCGGTACAAACCTAAAAACCTCATGTGCAATTGCACTCAAAGAGCGACTTACTACGGAAATCTGGATACTCAGAATCGGAATGAACTGGCACAACATAACTCAGAAACCTGAATCGTGCAACGGATAATTGCGCGGAGTACAACGGCATACGGAATGCGTCGTTCGGAATGCCGTTCAAATCCTTCGGGTAGACCGTAACACCACAATGACTCAGACCGTCTGGCTACTGTTCAACACTGCCAGCGGAAGATGGTTTCCGGAAGCCACTCTGCGCAGAGCTTGCCAGCGGTGTTCCTCCTCCTCCTACTCCTCCTCTTCCTCCTCCTCCTCCCCCTCCTCCTCCTCCTCCTCCTCCTCCTCCCCCCTCCTCCCTCCTCCTCCTCCTCCTCCTCCTCCTCCTCCTCCTCCTCCTCCTCCTCCCCCTCCTCCTCCTCCTCCTCCTCCTCCTCCTCCTCCTCGTCATCATCCTCCTCGTCCTCCCTGGCCACGCCTCAAACTGTCGCGAGCAGCCACCATACAGATGCCTGCTGCATGGCGTTCGCGCAGCTTGCGGTCGAAGCGATGGCCGCTGAGGTGCAATTCTGCTGGCGAATATCCAGCGTGTTGTCCGCTTGTTACTGCGTTCGTACTCGCACCAGGAACCATATCGAGGCTAATTTGCGCACCGATGCTGGGAGCATCGGTGGGAGTCTCAAGCACATGTTTGAAATTTTGCAGGCAGGCATGTGTACACGACAACACGTTCAGATGTTCGCAGCTCAAAAGGGGAACACAAAGGATGTGAGTACATCGGCCACGCGCTTGAACACGCTGGCGCTTGTGGCAAACTCTGCGCGCGAGCGGGCATGTCATAGGCGCGTTAACGGATACATTTATATACAGTATACGCGTTCTTCTGCGCTGCCACATGTGTGGAGACAATCAATCGCACAGTGAATAATTCAAACATTGTGCAATGATGGTGCGCGGTCCCACCGTGGTCGTCGTCTGGGTGGTCCGCGCGGCCTCGGGAATTGCAGCCATGCCCTTTCATGCTCTGGACTTGCTTGTTCTCGAAGGGTGCTTCCATGCCTGCATTCAATCACTCCATATTCAATGCCAATGTCGCTCCCCATTGCTAATTGCACCAGCTCTGCTGTGGCGTCGCAGTGCTAACTAGGACCGTATGCGCCTTACGCCCTAGCAAACCGAAAAACAAGCCCACAGCTGCACGCATGTATGATTTCATACATTGCTTCAACATAGGTTGAAAAAGTGGCAAAAGCTCGGACACAAGACATCCGTACTACCAATAATTGAATACCCATGCAAATCAGATACTATGGACTGCAAACAACTGCACGGAAGGAGAGGATATCGTTGCAATGCAAAATGGCAGTGTAATGCAAACCGTTGCCATGGAGCACATTTCAAATGGCAGTGCAACGCAGTCGGCCCCGAGAAAACCTCCAGGAAGCAGCCAGGAGATCTTCGAGATGGCCAGAGGCATCGAGCGAAAACGGTGTTCGTCGACGAGTTCGGCCTCTCAGCGTCTGCAGATTGACCCAACACAGCCACAGGCGGTCTTGTGATGACGCAGTATGGGCGGAGCAGGGCCCCGCGTATCGCCGAAGAGGCCCCGAGAAGCTGCCGAGAGGCTCTGGATCCAGAGAGCCCTGGGAGCCCCCCCCCCCGAAAGGGCCGTGCTCCGTCGATGAGCTCGGCCTTGCTACGTCGGCGGGCTCGGATGAGCTTCTCGGCCCCCGCGCTGGCCCCAGAGGGGCCCCCACGAGGGCCGCGAGAGGGCCCGAGGAGATCCCCCAGAGGGCTCCAAGAGATCCCACAAAGGCCCCACGAGCGGCCCAAAGACGGAGGCCAGTGGGAGGCAGGCCACGGGATGGCCCCAAGACAGCCTCAAGAGGCCCCGCGGAGACCCCGAGGTGCCTTCAGATGCAGCAGGCCACAAGAAACCTTCTACAAGAAGCCCAACCCTGAGACCCCAGGACGTCCATCGCTTTTTGGTGTGGGAACGCCACGCTTTCCCTCGCAAAACCACCGAAACCCAAGAACCCCAGGGCACCCTCGAGGCAAGCAAGGTGTTTCTTGGCATGGGTTTCCACCGTAGGTCCGGGATATGGCGTCCAACACAGCACCGTAGAAACCTCCAGGTAGCCGTCCAACATAGCACCGTAGAAACCTCCAGGCAGCCCGAAATGGCCCAAGACAGCCCCCAGGCCCCCGTCAGTAGCCCAGAGGCCCCCAGGAAGCTTCAGAACATCTCCCCACACACGCCCAAGAGTCCCCCGATATGCTCCGACAGCCCACGGAGCGGGTTTTTTGAAGTTGCCCTCTTGCGCTTCTGGGCTTCGATGGCGAGACTTGGGTGGGGGCGTTCCGAGGAGTGCTGCGCTCGATCTGCCAGGCGGTGCCCTCTCCCCCGCTCGAGCTTCACCCGACAACTTGGGGAAACCGCCACCATCCAACAGCGACCCGATGCCCACAATCACGCAGGCAAGCGCGCGAAGCGGCTGCGCTGTGCCGGGGCCTCTGGGGCCCCCCCCGGCCATGTTGGCAATCACGTGGGCGGTCTGGGCAAGCTCTCGGAGCCCTCGGCACGCTCAGGCCCATGCGGTCCCGCTTCCAGAACACAAGGGCCCCTGCGAAACTCATGGTGGGGCTGCCTCGGGGCCGCCATCTGGACACACTTCACGGCGGGCTCGTGCGGCGTCGGCGCGCGCAAAGGTCTTTGACAACGCGCCGATCGTTCAACCTTGAATCGATCGAGGACCCGATCGTTTAAGGTTGCATTGAATTGGGTGCAGTGGCATTGCCGTGTCCGTCGAAGCTTCCGCGCCGCAGAATTCAACCGTGACCGCCTTCGCTGGCGTCGCCAACGCGCCAACGCCGCACGAAGCTACCGTAGACGCTCATCCGCTTCTCCAGGGACCTCTCGGGACAACACCCGTCCAAGAAGATTGTACCCAGAAGTGCCAGCACCTTGAAGATCATCTGGCTCAGCGCTGCCGCCTGAGGCTCCTCAGGAGGTCCTCGTCAGCCCTCTTGGGGTTGTCGTGGGCAGCCCCGAGACCCTCTTGAAGCCCCTTTGGGGCGCTTCTTGGCGCTCCGTGGTTCTACCGTAGCCCTGTGTGACTCCGAAGGCGCCACTGAACCCGAACAACTCCTGGATCCTGGAGCGGTTTGGGCCAGCTCGAGGCCACCTTGGAGCTCCTTGGGCCCTCGTGCGCTTCCCTGGAGCCGTCCGGGAGCTCCCCCTTGCGGGACACCCGGGCGGCCCTCGGGCTCCGTCGGCCTCCTGGAGCAAGGTGCGAGAGCGCGAGGGGCCACGATCGGGGGCGGCTGGCATCGACCCGGAATCGGCGATGCGTCGCCGATGGATCGGCGATAGGCCCCCGATCGTGACTCCGCACGTTCCCGCGCAGGTTGGGGCTGTCGGGGCCCTCATCGGCGAGCAGTGGGCGACGCAGCACCCCCCTCTGCCCGTCCCCCCCCCCATCCTTCCCCCCCGGAGGAGGAGGAGGAAGGGAGGGAGGGTGGTCCGCCCCCAAGGCCGAGGCTCCAGGTGTCCAGGCAAGTCACGTGTGTGCTCCTCCCGAGGCGTATTCCAGCCTGCTGTTGCTCTTCCTGCTCCTTCCCATTCTGTGCGCTGCCGGCCTGGTTGATGTCCCACCGTTGCGACTCGTGATTGCTCTCGTAGACGAAGCCAGGGTCCTGCCAGTAAGAAAAGAACAGATGCACGAGCGAGCGCTTGTTCCCGCATTCGAAGCTAGTCGGAGTTCTTGCATGCGTGCGCGCGCTGAGAGAGGAACGGTGCACATGAGAAAGGCGGTCGAGTCGGGGCAAAGGGCCAACACGCACTGCTATAGAAAGTTGAGTGGGCAACGTGAAGGGGGGTGCAATGACGAGTGAACGGGTTGGGAAAGCGATAAACGCGGGGATCGGCGCCATAAGGAACAAGATAAGCGTGACAGATGGCGGAGTGAGGAGCTAGACCGAAGTTGTTAATATTGCTTCCAAAGAGGGGTGGCACAAGTGGCTTGAATCCAATCTGCAGTACTCATGTGTTTGTGTGAAACAGTTCTCTGTCATAGCAGTAGAACTACGAGCACACGTGGAGACACAGCACTGCGATGCTCAATGAGATGCTGCACAGCATCGCCTCGCATGGGTGATATAGTATAATAGCACCGCCTCGCATATCGTGGCATTGCAGAATTGCGCAGGGTTGACCAGCAGAAGCGCACAATCTCATTGCACAACATTGCAGAGCTTAAGCAAACGTATTGTGTATCACGGTGGAGCATGACATTGCAAACCAACTCATGGCGTATCATTTCAATTTTGCACAGTGTAGTCCTGCGTACTGTAGCTACACGATGCGTAACATAGTATAGCGTTGACAAACGAAGCGTGGAGTAGCGTGGCGTAGCGCAGCATACTAATACACATCTTGCACTGCACACCGAAACAGACCACCATGCTGTATTTCAAAACGGACATGGCCATGCAGAGTGTACCATGGCATCGCTCGGCGTTGTATTTGTAAACGTCAAAGTGCAGACCGTAGCAACGCACATGGTATATCACCATGCAGCATGGCATCGTGTGGAATGGTGTCGCAGCGCGTGGCGTCGCATTTCATTGCATATCAGCATCCACCTCATCATTGCAATGACCTAGCAGCCCTGTATGCCAGATAACCTGACAAACTTACGCCGCACTCCTGCACGGCTGGCACTGCGTAGACGCCGGCCTCGTCAGACATTGATGCCAGGGCCTGGCGAGCACATGGAGAAGGACGTGTATTCCAGTATGGTCGCAAAAGAAGGAAGGATGAACTATGGAGAAGTTGACAGAACATATCCAGACAGCGCAGAAAACATTTGTATACTCAATGCCCCCGCAATTAATGTGCGAGAGCAACAAGAAGCACGAGTCAACCAGACGAGCTCTGACTGAGATGCTGACGCGATGTATTCGCCGACCCCGCTTGCTTGGGGTAAGAAGGTGTCGGAGATGATTGGCTCTTCCCTTTCCCCTTTCCCCTTCGTCCGACTTCCAACGTGTCGATTGGGAGGGGGGGGTTCTACGAACTCCTCATCGAATCTCCGTCAGAACGTCCACGTTCACTCTCAGACCCCTGCAACATGCTCAAACTGCCGTCCAATACGGATCCGAAGGGCTCCGACACTGTCAAGAGGTCCCAAGACAGCTCCAAGTGGCCACGGAGCATACAAAGGATACCCTCGAGGCGCCACAATGTCTCAAGCAATTCCGTGCGCCCGTCTTTGCTGAGAGAAGATCGTGCTTGTGGGACCGGACGGGTCGGACCGCGGGTTCCCACTGCCCCAAGCTGCTTCCAGCCGCGTCGTACGTGACGCACAGCGTGCAACGCTCCCCAATCTCCTTCACTTTTTGGTCTGCGGGTCGAGAGCGAGCCTCTTCCGGTGAAGAGCTAGGCGGGCCGCGCAAAGCACTAATTGGGGAGACAGAGCGCGGGCGGGCGGGGCCTCAGGCGGCCGGAGGGCGCGGGGTGCAGGCGGTGCTGAGGAGCTTGCACAGGAAAAGGTACACCGATAAACCCAATCTCCTTCACACTCCAACCTCGTGATCGACCGCACGTGAGATCTGTGACGCCGCCCACCAAAAAAGCCACGCAGAAGATCTGCCCCGTCCCAGCCTCGACATCGGTCGCATGCTGGCCAGACAAGTCTGCCATGTCGGTGCGCCGCCTACGCGCAATCTGCCCGACTGATGCTCGTCAGAGGTCCTCCTCAAGCTTGCGGCAGCTTTCCCATCGCCAGAGGCGGAGCAGGAGGAGGAGGAGGAGGAGGAGGAGGAGGAGGAGGAGGGGGAGGAGGAGGAGGAGGAAGGAGGAGGAGGAGGGCTGCACTGAGAGGCGTGCCGTCAGAGATGCTGCTCGAGGGCGAGGTGTGGCGGTGGGGCGCAGGCGGTGCGCGTGAGGCAAAGGGGGGGAAACCTGGGACACTGGGGCCGCAGCGCGGGCCGGCAGGCCGGTGGGCTGCGACCAGCTGCATGCCCTCCTCCTCCTCCTCCTCCTTCTCCTCCTCCTCCTCCTCCTCCTCCTCCTCCTCCTCCTCCTCCAGGGGGGAAGCCTGGGACACTGTGGCCGCAGCGCGGGGAGGGCGAGGTGGATCTGGATACAGTCAACCCGTGTATTAAGGACGCGCGATGCGGATGTCTCGGAGGGCCACGTCGACAGTCTGCGGGCGGGGCGCGGCCAGCGAAAGCGGCAAAGGATGGGCCGAAGGGGGAATGCTGCAAGGGCACCCTTGGGAAAATTGCCCGTCCTTGCTATGCGTGTTGACTGTACGGCAGGTTCGTGTCATGCCGACTCGGGCGTCCGTTTCTGACACCGCGCGGGCCGCTTGACCCCGAACGACCGCGGCTTTCCGATAGCGCTGATCGCTCAGTGTCGGGCGTTGGCAAGACTGCGTTTGATGGGACCTGGTTTAATGATGCGCACTGAAGAAAAACTCCCCCCCCGCCCCAATCCACTAACCGGAACTGCCGTCACCCGAAAAACACCAGCTACGGCAGACCTGGTTTAGTGTTAGGTCGGGCACAGCCGGATTTTGGACGAAAAATAAAACATACACCGCAAATGCTCAAAACATGGTTAAAAATACGAAACACATCGTCCCTGGATTATTTGGTTGACTAGTTTTGAATAGTCCACCTGTAGAGGGACAGGCCCGACGTAAGTTTAGTGACTCCAATCCATTTTCTTTTTGACCTCGGGGCCCAATCACTGACCGGCTCCCCTCAACCGGGGCCCTGGCTATCCCTGACAAGTGTCGCTCGATCCCGTGTCACCCTCGACGTTCCGTCTTGAGGTAAGTCGGGCCTGTCCCCCTACAAGGGGATTTTCGACGAAAAATAAAAAAACACACCCAAAATAGCCCAAACATAGTCCCAAAATGGTCCGGGGACTATCTTTTGAATTTTTTTGACTTCTTTGGGGCCTTCTTGGGGTATTTTCTATATCTCTCGCCGAGAATCCCAGCCTGTATGGGGGACACGCCCGCGCGTCGGGCACGGACCCGAGGGGCTCCACCGTGCGGGCCGAGCTGGAGCGCGGACCGCCGTCGTCAGGACGACCTGGAGTGGGCCCCACACCACCGCCCAGTTTTTTACTACACACACACACACATATATATATATATATATACATGCTAACACCCCCCTCGAACTGTTTTCGCGCAGACTACTCGATCGAGCGCGGGGCGAGCAGTTGTGAGCCTCGCGCGCCAGCTGGCAATCACTCTCTGGCTGCCAACGGCAGGAAGAAGAGGAGAAGAAGAGGGAGGGCAAGGGGGGGGCCCTCAAAAACTTGAGCCAGGATAGCCACGGACAGAGCAATACAGACATGTGCTGAGAGACTCTGCCGGCGAATCCTGATCATTCTGACCCGCTGCGATGCCAATGCGTTCCATGAGCTGCGACCGGCGGAGTTCACCGTAGTGCAACAGACACGTTCAAAACGCCAGGGGGGAAATTCTGTACAAAACGGTCGTTTTGTACAGAATTTCCCCCGCCCCCTCCCGGGCGTCCACGTTTATAAACCGAGCATCACTGGCATCTTCTGAACAAACTACACGCGGGGAGCTACACATGCTATTCTGTAAACAGATGGCACATGCTAACACCCCCCTCGAACTGTTTTCACGCAGACTACTCGATCGAGCGCGGGGCGAGCAGTTGTGAGCCTCGCGCGCCAGCTGGCAATCACTCTCTGGCCAATCCCCAGATCAGAGTATCTGTACTCGGGAGGGTGGGCGGGCCCACAGGCAGCGAGCAACGGCCGCTGCCAATTCATGTGGATATGCAACGGCGTTGGCGGTATGAAACGTCTTGCCTGCCCTGCCAGCAAGCTCTACGTGCGGTTGATGAGAGAAACTGCAGACGTGCCTGCCAGAACAGTGCGCCCAACTCAGTCGAGAAATATCAAGGTTAGCATACAAGAGTCTCGTGCGTTTACGATATGGGCAACCGAAGGCGCAATAGTCAATGTCGATATACCGCCACTTCTCGCACAAGCGCTGGAACTCTGGATGACACCAGATGAAACTGCTCTGCGGGTTCTCAATCACCACGGGGCAGCCTCGAAGCGCTGCGAACTGGAAGAGGCGAGCGGCCCAGGTCGCACGAGCGTTGCCTCCGTGAACAGCTGCCAGATCCTTCCCAGCGAGGTGGGGTAAACCGAAGATGCACTTTCGCGACCGCAGCGGCGCTGGCCACCCGGGCTGCCCAGAGACGTTGCGTCTGGCACGCGACCAAGTGGCGCTTATGGAGCCAATCCACAGCAGGGCAACTAGCCTCAAACGGAGGCTCTCGTAAATGCATTTTCTGACGAGAGGGTGCATGCAGCCCTGCATCTCCGACTCGGACAGCTCCCAAGACCGGGCCTGGAAACCGGCAGCGGCGGCGGCAGCGGCAATGCGCGCTGAGCCCGCCATCAGCTCGAACACCTCCCCAGGCCTCCGAAAGCGGCGGGGTCGGTGTAGCCGGCCGCCGCGGCCCTTCCAGTTCACGCCGCCGCAGCGACGCCGCTGCGGGGCGCCCACGATCCGGGCGCCTCGCGCTTCAGCAGGCGCTCGAGCAAGTTCATCTGCTGGACGCCGAACGCCCTGTTCTCCGCTGGCATCGCGTTGAGCAGCTGGTGAATGGCCCCGGGCTTCGCGTACCTGCGCAAGCTGCTCTCGGATTTCCAATGGCCGCGCGCCTTCACGGCGTCCGCCGGCCGCCTCTGGGTGAGCAGGTCGTCGCTGGCCCCGCCGTGCCGGAGCTGGTACAGGCATGCGCCCGGGACGCCCAGGGCGGCCACAGCGCGGCCGAAGGCCGCTGCCATGCCTGGGCCGCCCGTCGTGAAGAGGGGGGCGGTCGGAGGCTTGCCCCGCGCATGCGCCTGCAGCACAGGCCCCAGCCAGGCGGGCTCGTCCAGCAGCACCGTCTCGTCCGAGGTGCCGGTCTTGGTCAGGACCCGGGGCGCGCCCACCGTCTCGGTCGGTGCCAGGATGATCGACCAGTGGCTCAGCGGCCCCGACCGCCTCGCTGGGGGCAGCAGCTGCCCGACCGTCAGCTGTCGGAGAGCCCCAGGGCGAATGTAGGTGCAGAACCGCGACTTGCAGCGCCTGGTCGCACAGGGGCCAGCAGCATCGACACCGCTGCCGCCATGAGCTCCTTTGGTGCCGGTGCCCGGGACCGAGGCGGCCGCTTCTTCCCGAACCCCCGTAGGGCGCGGGTCACCCGAGGCAGAGTCCCCGAGCCGACCGCGAAGGGGAAGTGATCCTTGACCGCCGCCACGAGCGTGTCCGCATCGCCCTTGGTACCATCGGCCCCAAGCAGGTGGTCGAGCGCCTCGAGCAGCCTGATCTGCAGCTCGTTGACGTCGGCTGGGACGCGGCCCTTCGTCTGGCAGAAGTCGAGGAAGGCGTCGCAGAGCGGCCTGTAGTTGGCGCGCGTGGCAGCGCCTGCTGCGGCCTCCTCGCAGTGCGAGCGGGCCGCGGCCGAGGCCGGCGACTTGGATGCCTGGCTCAGCGCCGCCGCGACCCGCCTCGGCCGGGGGACAGCGGCCGGCTGCTGCCGGGCGCGGGGGCCGGCCGCCGCAGGCCGCCGCCTGGCGGCTGGCCGCCGCTTCGGCGGTCCCGCAGCAGGCGTGGGGGCCGGAATCGGCGCAGCCTCGGCCTCGGCTGTCGGCCTCTCCTCGCAGCTCTGCGAGGGCCCGGCGCCAGCTCGACTCAGCGGACCAAGCATGGCCGAGCGGGCCCTGGTGCTCGAAGAGCCGACTGCCCGCGTCCGCGGGGTTGAACTCGGACGGGATCCAGCGGAACCTGGGGCTGATCCCGCTTGCGAGACAGATGGCAGCGGTCCGACGGCACAACTGTAATATGGCGTGTGACGATGACCTCCCCCGATCCAGCCCGCAGCAAACCCCGAAGTTGTCGATGAGAAATAGCCTGATAGTTCCGAAGTTCCGAACGTCGCGAGCAGCCCGTCTGAGCCCCCACAGAAACGCCCGCCCC